CGGGCCCCGACGGGCCTGGCGGCGGGGCGCGGCGGCTGGTGGCGGGGAGTGCCACGTGGCGAGAGGGGATTGGCCGCTGGGGCGGCTGGCGGACGTGTCCGGCGCCGGGCAGACGCGTCCAACGCGCGGAGGAAGAAGGGGGCTAGGGTTTGGACCCGAAATTTCGGAGGGGGACTTATTTATAGATAGAGGGAGCTAGGAGGCTCCAAATGCGGTGCGATTTTCGCCCACACGATCGTGATCGAACGACCGAGAGCATGGAGGGGGTTTGGATGGGTTATGGGCCACTTTGAAGGGGTGTTGGGCTGCAACACAAAGAGGGCTTTTGCGGCTACCCGGTTAACCGTTGGAGTACCAAACAACCTCCAAATGGCACAAAACTTGACAGACGATCTACTGGTGGTGTACCAAGGCCGCTTGGCAAACCTCGGGCCATTCCGAGAAAGTTTAACACCCGCTCACAACAGGAGACAAAAGGAAAACGTCGGAGGACATAAGAGTGTCGGATTGCAAAACAGACAACGGGAAAAATGCTCGGATGCATGAGACGAACACGTATGCCAATGCGATGCACATGATGACATGATATGAAATGCAGATGATGACATGGCAAAATGCAACACGCAAGTACATGACTTGACAAAGACGGCGAATAACTGACGAACACCTGACGCATCGAATCCGGGGCGTTACATATGTATTATTGGAAGAAGCTCCGACAAAAGCCTCAGCACTCTGCTTTCAAGCGCGTCGGCTGCTAACGTGGCGGGATCCCACCTTGAGCGGTCCTGCAGCCTTTTCTGCCAGGTGCCAGCCAACGGCAGGTCGGCACGGCGCAAGAGCGGCCTACACCTCAGAGCAACCCGCGTGCCACCGCAAACACATGTCCTTGGGATAGCCGACGCGCCGCGGTGGGGGCTCGGCGCCACTTGCCGGTTGCCACGGCGCGCGGCGCAATCGAGCCGAGCGGTATGGTGTCGACACGGTTCGAGACTTTGAGGGCGTAGACGTGGGCGCCCGAGGCCCGTTGCCCGCGCGGTCGCTCGCCACACAGCGCCCGGGCCAGCTGAACCGCACGGGGAGAGAATATCCGGCGAGCAATTCCGGAGCAGCGGCATCTTCTTTATCGCACCCCTGAAAATTCTCATCAGATGCCATGCAGATGCAGGTACGTGCAAGTTCTGTGGCCGATCCGGCGGCGTAAGGTTGGCGGCCAGAGAGCATGCCTAGCCGGTGAGCCATCAGCACAGAAGGGGCGTGATTCAACGCTCTATTTTCGGGTGTTTATTTATTTAAACACGCTCGCTCTCCCACTTGATTTAGGTCATTGTAACACGGCAGCGTGACTTGTATTGCGAATCAGTGTCAAACAAGTTTTGTAACTTGACACCAACGCTTTTTCCGGTCAACTTTGCTTTACAGTATACCCTTCCTGTTGCCCACAAAGCTATGCATACCGTGCTTCGCTCCATGAGGTGAAATGCACCTCCCTGTGAAAAGCAAGGCATAGTATGAGTTTGAAAAAAAAAATGATGATCCGTCCGAGTTCATCACGTCTGAGTTTCTCATCGGAAAAGGCAAGCGGAGCCGAGGAAAAGAAGCCATCGACCGACCGATGGTACTCGTACCGTGCCCTAGTTCCCAACTCGGACCCCGTCTCCCTCCACCGCTCGTTTATATTTGCCCCGTTCCCCACCCCGCACGGCCGAAGCCGCCTCCCCCCTCCCTCCCTCGCCGAGCCCAAGAGAGAATCGGAGACCACGGCCCGGCCAGCTCCTCCGCCTCCCCCCCGACCCCGCGCCCTCGCTACTACTACATGGCAGCTCGGCGTCTCCACGGCCAATCCGACTCCGAGACCCTCAAGAACAACCCCTGCTTCTGCTTCTGCTTCTCCTGCCCTTGTCCTCAGCCGCGCGCCGCGCATCTCGATTCCGCCGCCGCTGCCCCCGCCCGCGCCCGCTCCTGATTGGGCCTCCGCGTGCGCCGTCTCCTGACTGCCTGTCGCTGCGCGGGTTCTTGCGCGGTGCCGGTGGTTTCTCGCTGCGGTTCTTCGTAGGACGCCGTCCGTTTCTTGATTCCGGTTCTTGCTGCCGCGCGGGCTCGCCATGGGGAAGAGTAAGTCTCTGTTTCGCCGGCTGGTTGTTGCTCTCTTTCCTGCCTGGGGGTTCTGATTCTGATTGATTTCGGGGGGATTGTCTTCCTCAGGCAAGAAGAGCAAGGTCCGCGGCGCCGGAGGGGACGACCTTCTGGACAGCAGCGACGCCGACAGCGTGGGCTCGTCGTCCACCGCGCTCTCAGATCTCTCCATCTCGTACGGCACCGAGAACGTCAACTCGCACGAGTTTGTTCTCGACAAGTACATCGACGCTCTCTACGAGAAGAGGTGGGGTTCTGTAGCATTTCTCTATTTATGCCATCACCTGCAGCAGTCTATGCCCAACGTGTGCTATGCAAATAGATGTGTCCTTACTGGTGTAGTGTGATACCATCACAAATTCACAATAGAGTAGAATGATGGTTTGGCAGCTGGTCCTAGTTGGCTGACAAATGTTGATTCTGTGGATAGATTAGGATGATGTTGTTGACATGACATTTGATAAAGTGCTACGGACCTTCATGTTGGACTAGACCCTCTCCTTTACCTGTTGGGTTTTACAACAACTTAGTAGTTTGGACTGGGCCTCCAGTGTTTGGTTTAGCCTACAAATTCTGATTGAATTTAGGCTATGATGATTGAAAAACTGCATTATCCTGTACCTCATGTTATTATTACTTGCTGGGTCATCGAGTAGTGTAGATTGTTGTTGTATTATGAAGTTATGTCAAGTTATACTCAGGAAGCCTGTCATAGGTAGCACATTTGTCAAATTTGACTTCTAATAAGTCTACAAATTTGACTTCATGTTTTGGTTAATCGGACATTCTACCCAATGCATCGGCACCATAATGTAAATTGTAGAAGTAATCATGTTGGTTTTATTTAGTGTACTCAATATAGTATTGTTTATATTGGAGCAGGGGGTCTACAAGAGAAGCAGCGTTGGCTTCATTGGTTGATGCTTTCGAAAGTTTTATGCTTGATGGTCTTGTTGAGAACAAGTAAGTTACTACATTTCACTAACCAATCTTAGTTCTTGCATGTGGAGTTAGTAGTTACTTAAACTGTTAGCTATAGACATACGACATGTTTGCACAAAACAATTAAACATCTCAAGCTCAAAATTTTATCACTAACCCCTGTCCTTTTACATTCTGTGTCATCATCGTGGCTCATTCTTAACTGGAGATGTATTTTTGTCCAAATCCACCGTTTAATAATGTATCAAATTTATTCTCTTCTGAAGATATGCCACTCTACTGAGTCTATTCAATACTTCAATCAAGAAGGGATCTACCAAGGAGGCTTGCCTGGCATCTCGCGCCATTGGTCTGTCTCCTATCCATTAATGTTCTTTTCCCCAGTTCCACCTCATTTGGAGTTTACTTACACCGTTTTTGGCTGTTGTGTTCTTGATTTGCAGGGTTACTGTCTATTACGCTTGGTGCTGGGAGTAGCTCACATGAAACAATGGTAGAATCACATCCACAGCTCTCTAAGGTCCTTCAAACCTGGTCGGATGCTTCAAAGATGATCTCTGTAAGTGAAAGTTTTTCTGTTCTTCTAGGCTTCCAGATTTTGTTTACATTTTCAGTGATGTGATCTGTGTTGACCTGCTGTAGGCTCTTGATTGCTTGGCCATCATCACATTTGTTGGTGCAACTGATCTGGCTGAAACAGAGCTATCTTTGAAAGCCATGTGGGATGTGATTCATCCAAAATCAGGTTCAAATGTATGTATAGGTGCCATTGATTTATTATCAGATTTTGCGAACCGATTCTACAAAGAACTCTATTCAATAGCTTTGTGATTCCTGACTTGCCTGCAGGTCGGTACTGTCCGGAAACCAAAGCCACCTGTGTTAGCAGCTGCTCTATCTGCATGGACATTTCTGCTAACAACTATTGGTTCATGGCGGATAAACACTGATAGCTGGAAGGAGTCAGTAACTCATCTCTCTCCCCTTTAAATTATATCATCCATTTCATTGTTTACTTATTTTATGGTTTTACTATTTGCCAGGCCAATCGCGTATCTCTCTACTCTTCTAGGAGCAGAGGATCGTGCTGTTCGGATGGCTGCTGGTGAAGCATTAGCTTTGTGCTTTGAGTTGAATCTACTTGATGTCTCCCCTTCTGAAGACGCTGGTGATGACACTGGAGTACCTGGTAGCTCTAAGGGCAAACTTTTCCTGGATATGCAAGCATTGAAAGCCAAGATAGCTGGTCTTGCCTCGAATCTCTCTGCGGAGGCAGGGGGGAAAGGTGCAGACAAGAAAAATCTTTCTGACCAAAGAGACCTGTTTCAACGGATTTTGGATTTTGTCAAGGTCTGGTTCATTTTCATTCTTATTTGATCTTCGGTTTCGATCTGTCTTTCAAATTCTTAATAGCAAATCTGTTTCCAGTATGGTGAGTGCCCTGAAGAATCACTGAAGATTGCTGGAAAACGAGATGTTCTAAGGGTTGCATCATGGTCTGAATTGATTCAGGTGCCTGCTTCTTTCTTCCAGTGATTCCTGAATTGCTGCATTTTCACATGTCTTAGCTAATTTTCCCTTGATCATCAGTTGAACTTCTTCAAACGTTTCCTTGGGAGAGGCTTCCTGAAGCATGTGCAGGTAACTTTCTTGGAGTGGTCTGTTTTCCACTGTGCTAATTTACTTGTGCATGTCACAAATGCTAGATTTGTTTTCCATACAGGACAATGGACTTCTTCAAGATATCTTCAGTATCAAGGCTGACAAAGCTGAAACTCTGTCATCGAATGATAAGGTAAAACTGAGACATAGAAGGCCTTAATTTGCAATGATGATTGCTGTGGAGAGCTCTAACTATAGTTGATTTGGTCTATGGAGTTAATTTTGGAATTGTGAATGAATTATGACCTGTTATATGATTGATAGTATAGAATGCCAACAGCAAAGACACAAAACAAGCTTAGCAAGGGATTAGGCTAGGTTAAACAATTAAGGTAAGATTGATGGTTGATGTTTCTTAGGTATACGCTTGTGGATTCTATGAGATGGATGAACTCCTTGAAAATCTTTTGTCAAACTTGCTCTGCCGAGGACAAGAAAGAGATTGCTCATGGTCATGATTCAAGCTGTACCGTTAGAGGCTGCTTAGCGCATCTGCGTCCTTTTGGTCGTTGATACTGAAAGTCGGAGAAATTAGCTAGCACCAACGCAAGAAGTGTTGTGTTTGGCGCTCAAATAAAAATGAAGTGTAGCGTTTGGCGCTCAGATAAAAATTTAGCTAGCACCAACTCTTAAGGAGTGTTGCGTTTGGCACTCAGGAAAAAAAATTGTAGCACTACAGTTAAGCTTCACACTTGGTGCCAAGGTTTTCTTCTCTTTTGATATGTCCGGGTTTTGTTCTAAATCTAATTATTTTGCGGCATCTTAGCTTCTGTAGGTGGTGCTATATGGGATGGGATAAAAATAGCTAAAACGGTAAAATTGTTAGAAGGATGATGTTCCATTTTGCAACTAACTCCGGGGTGGTGCTACGGCCTAGGGATGCACATGCTTTTATGGAGGGATGCACATGCTTTTATGGGTTTAATAATTATCTCATGATCCCCAGACCGCAGAATGAGTAAACGACATTTCCGTTCTTATGTGTTTTCAAACTTCAGACTCCTTTTCAGGACTGTTCTAATGCCTTTTGCTTGGTTGTGATGGACATAGTTTATTTTTTATTTTTGTTTGTGCATCTGTTGTCAAGTGATAGATTCCTTATCTTGAGAAATTACAAAAACACTTGCAGAAAATCTTTAGATCCGGAGAAGAGAAAGGAAGAGCTCTGAAGCTGAACAAGGATCGTCGTTTAGCACAGGTGAATAACTCTTACGCTGGGTTTTGTCCTTGACTTGATAACCTCCATCCCAAATTATAAGACGTTCTGTTAGGCTATTTTAGTCCACAAATAAATGATGTTTTGAACATCTCTTAAGTGAAACTTCTAAAACTTTGGCTATCGATTAATCTTGAATAATGTATGTTTGGAACATGAAAATCATATGTACACATTTTTTATATCTATCTTTGGAAGTTGAAAATCATACGTTTGTGCATTTTCTTGACTTGAAAATCATCTGTATGTTTGGAACATGAAACTCTAGGCATTTTATTGACAAATTGTTTTGCTGCCATTTATCCTTGTTACGGGTGAACATTGCTACCCGGCACCACATCATTCTACCAGTGCATTGACTAATCTTGGATATTTCTTTGTTCATTCCAGGAGAGGAAAAACGCTGCCATGTTTGACGAGTAACAAGAAAGGAAACAAAACCTCATCGACCCGGCATTTTACTCCTTTTGAGCTGGAATTTATTTATATCTGTGTGAACAACTACAGGAAGAATGTCCTAGAGTTTGCTCTCCTTGACTGTTGTCTAATTATGATTATGATGGCCTGCTGTACTTGAGGAATACTTGGCCGAAATGATTACTGTTGTTATAAAGTCCCATGTGCGTTTACTTGTGAACTAAGTTCTCCTCTTAGTTTAGTTCAACGAGTGTGTTCTGTTGTGTTAAAAAACTATAGTCCCTTAGACGAACATCACCTGGGGCGCGAGGAGGAAGCGGCGGTGGCTTCGATCTGGAAAGCCATCGCGGGACATCCATTTTTCTTTTTGAGAGAGCGCTGGGAACATCTCAGGATGAGCTTAACCAGGGCCACATGGCCAGACGTGCTTAAAACGGGCATATATTCCTTGGGCCCTGCTTGGATCCTCGTTTTCCTCCACTTACACCTGTAAAAGTTACAGATCTCTGTCCATCGTTTTGGTTTCCAGGCAAAAATAACTCTTGGCATGTAAATTACACCCGGAAATTTGATACACGTGTATTAAATTACATCCATACCAAGCGCAGCCTAAGGCCCTGTTTGGAATGTCGTTTCTACTTTGAATACACTTGTAAAAGTTACAGGCCACCGGCCATCGTTTTCGTTTCGGCGTGCAAATCGCTCCTGGCCAGTAAGATACACCCGTAAGAAAAATACATCTGTATTTATTTACACCGATTCCAAGCGCGGCATAAGGGTTCGAAGTTTACAATCGAAAGGCGAGCACATCTATACAGAACGAGCAAAGGTACAGCATGGCCTCTCTGTTTATCAGCGTGCTGGTGCGTCAAAACAACGGCACCGGTATTTTCTTTGGAAAGGCGAACAGAAATACTCCCCGTAAAGAAATACAAGAGCATTTAGTATTTAAACGCTCTTATATTTCTTTACGGAGGGTGTAGTAAAACAGATGTCAGATCAGGCACTAAACTAAGCATTCGCCGCTGATGAAGTATGCACAAGCAGCTCATTGTCCGGTGTTCATACTTGAGCTCAATGCAGTATCTTTCCAACCTCGCCAGCATTGTGAAAATGACTGGGAAACCCATTCACGATTGATCTGCCACCAGTTCCTTGCCTACTTGTTGTTGTCTGTCTCCCCTGTTGGTTCATAATTCATCTCCTTATCCATTGTCTCAGTTAGGCCCTATAAATGGAACATGACACGGCACCTGAACTTAACCAAAGAGAAGAAAGCTACTCTGCCTTAACAAACTGGATTGGTCCAAATAGGCCATGAGATACCAAAGAAAATCACATCGGCAGCACTGTGACCCCAATATCTGTGGCATAATTAGCACACCCATCCGTCACTTGTTTACGAGACACAGATTGTGTGAGCAACCATAGACTGTATAGTTAACAGATCTCCCACGAAAAGCCAGCAAATCTGAATTGGTCCGTGCCCCTGGATTCAAATGGTGTCACTTGCTTATTTACAACCAAGATAGCTGGTAAAATAAAGCTGAAACACGGACCGGAGGGAGGCATACGAAACCGCGGTTCGTGGTTACCGGTCGGTTAGGACCGTAAACAAAAGATTAGTCCAATATTGTTCTCAAAATCGAGGTGCAATTTTTGGATCTGATGAATGGTAATTCACTAACTGTTTCAACTGCTAGTAACTGACTGAAAACCAGCCAAGTTTGGATGTGGATTCAAAAAGAGAGACGGGGGTTGAATCTTAGACGAACCGAAGAGTTCAGGGCTGTAAAGTGGACTTCTCTCGTTCAAAAATTGTCCACTGGGACCCCGTGAGATAACTGGCTATTGTCAGTAACTGGGTACCAGACATGATCCTATACAGTTTATGTAATTGGTTTTGAATCCTTGAATTAAGGGACGTCTGTTGGAAGGTCCACTGCCATGACAGCAAACAAAGCCTACATTCACCAATAATTACCACATGAACATTCTCCGTCCTTGAAATGATGAAACCGCTTAACATCCCTAACAACAATCTCCCGTCCAACTGCCAGTGACATGAACATCATCGCAGTATGACAATCGCCGCATATTCTCAAGTTTTTAAGAACTGTAATTGTGGCTCCAAGAGGCAACTTTAGAAGTCCAAAACTAACTGCCAGTTTCTCACTATGCGCAAATAATACGTATTCCTTTTGATGGGGTGCCATATCTTGCAGGACAAACTTTGTATCAGGAACATATCCCAGCTTTCTCATCTTAGCACCAACCATTTCAAGGAACCTGTAGACTTCATGCGCTTCCGGATGTTTTGTGTCACCAACAACAAACACGTGAACCTTGTTTCCAACTTCTATCCAGCTGCATCCAGGCTCCTTCTTCACCCCACGATCACGCATTAGCTTCCTTACTCGTGCAGCATCAACCCAGCGTCCAGCAGCTGAATATGTGTTGGACAGTAGTATGTATGTGCCATCATGCTGCGGTATCATCTCAAAGAGCTGATCTGCCGCATAAGCACCAAGTTCCGTATCTCCATTAATCCGACAGCCAGAGAGAATCGCCTCCCAAATGGCAGGGGTAGGCTCAAAAGGCATTGTCTTGATCAAATCCATTGCTTCTCCAACTCTTCCAGCCCGGCCATGCAAATCTATCAGCCGAGCATAGTGATCTTCTCCAGGGCTAATACCAAAGTCCCTTTTCATGGACTCAAAATATTGAAAGCCCTCGTCTACTAAGCCAGCATGATTGCAGGCTGTTAAAATTGTGAGGAATGAAATCCGATCAGGATATATGCCTTTAGCAACCATCTGGTCAAAGAGGTCAAGTGCCTCTCTACCGTGTCCATGCTGCCCAAGGGCTGCAATCATGGCATTCCATGAGACAGAGTCAACATTGGGCATCACAAGGAACACAAGACGAGCATCTTTCACAGCACCACATTTACCATACATGGTCAGTAGTGCATTTCCTGCAGAATTGCTTGCCTCGAAACCACACCGCACAATATGTGCGTGGAGCTGCTTTCCATGCTTCAGCCCCCCAAGTTCACCACATGCAGCTACTGCACCAGCATAGGTGTAATCACATGGCTTGACATCCTCAGACCTCATCTGGTTAAACAGCTTCAGAGCATCTTCTGCAAGACCTCCATGGACATACCCTGATACCATCACCATCCACGATAACTCACTTTTATATGGCATCTCCTTAAATACCCTAGCTGCATTGTCCAAGCAACCGCTCTCGATATACCCTGACAAAATGGTGTTCCAAGAAACGACATCCTTCAAAGTCATACTGTCAAATATCCTTGCAGCAACAGAAATCTTCCCGGACTTCGAGTATAAGGTCACCAGCGCATTGTTAACAGGTAAAGCTGCCTCAGGAACAAAATTCGGCTGCAACCGAATGAACTGTCCATGGACAGACTTCCCATGCAGAAAGAACCCGGCATTTGCACAAGCACTCAGGACGCTAGTAAATGTGAATTCGTCAGGTGGTATCCTTTTCGACACCATCCTCCTGAACAGCTCAAACGCCTCTGCACACATTCCCGATTGCACATACCCTGAAATCATCGCATTCCACACGACATCGAACTCTGCATCAACCTCTTCAAAGGCTGATCTAGCAGCATGGACATCGCCTTTCCTGACATAGCCCACGACTATAGTAGTCCACGAGAGCTCATCCTTAACCGGCATTTCGTCAAGCACCTTCCGCGCGTCCCGGGACACCTCAGGTGCATCACATTTCATGTACAGCGCAATGAGCGCGTTGGACACCGACAAGACAGCCCCGGCGCCCAGTTTGAGGACGGCTCCGTGCAGCTGCGTGCAGTGCGACGCCGCGAGGTTGTGCATGTGGCCGACGGCGCTGAGGAGCGCGGTGAAGGAGTAGTCATCTGGGCGAAGGGAGTCAGAGCAAAGCAGGGAGCGGAACACGGAGACCGCGGGCGCGGCGAGGGAGGCGCGGGCGAACGCGGATATCATGGCGTTGTGGAGCACGGTGTCCCGGCGGGGTAGCGGGACGGAGTCGAAGAAGGATGCGGCATCGGGGAGGCGGCCGGCGACGGCGTAGGCGGAGACGAGGGACGTGGCGGCGATGGGGCCGGGGTCCGAGCGGAAGAGGATCGCCGGGGTGTCGAGGTCGGGGGAGAGGGTGTAGAGGTGGAGGAGGCGGAGCGTGA